CCTCCGCCGAGACCTCCGCCGAGACCTCCGCCGAAGCTCAAACCTCCGTGTCCTCCCAGGTCTCCGCCGAGACTCAAACCTTCGTGTCCATCCAAGCCTCCGTAACTCTCTAGGCCACCGCCACCTCCGAGACTCAGCTCCAATCCTCGTTTGCTCTTTTCTTTCGTTGTCTCGGCGGCCGGTTTCTTCGTCTCGGGGCTCGATTCCTTAACGTCGCCGGCTAGAGCTGTCGCCACCAGGGCGAGTAATACAAGCTTCTAAAGGTAGAAACGTAGTTACTGTACAAACTGTACTGTGTTTCAAGACGTTGTTTCGTGTATCGTGTGAGGTATCTGTGCGTTTCCCTGCGTCGAATGTGATTCACGTTGTGCAAGGAGAGGTTAATAACGTCATAACGTCATAACGGGAGAAAGTGCAAAGTGAAAGCAGTATTACACGATAGGCTGTGACGATAAACGCAAGTTATCGTAACAACCGGTCTTGTCGTAGTTGCAGCAAAGACACGGCTCCTCTGACTGACTGGCTACGACTTTAACGCCCTAGTCGTGGGTACGTCAAGAGACAGAGTCGAGGAGACTCTGCAAGAAAAAAAGCAGAAAGCAAAAAGAAAAGAAAGAGAACAATGGAAAAATAGAAGCTTCTTTCGACACAGAGTTGTCTGTTTGAAAAACGTTGCCGTTCACCGTCAAATGCAAACTTTCTCCGTTTCTCACCCTTACATAATCCCTGTAATATCTATTCCGTGAACGACTATGATATGTGTCGATCTATGATATGTATCGTGTATGAATATAGTGGGGAACCGCGCGAGCTCACCTGCGGAGTGCTCATGGTGTCGTTCGAAGGTGCACACTGAAGCTACATCGCGCCAATCACTGGCATATATACCGGCACTTTCGCCGTGGCAACTGGCCCACTCCCCGGAAAATCCTACTCGTCCGCCGACATTAAAGTGGACCGATTGTGCTACCACGCCGTGCACAGGCAAAGGCGTTCGTTCGGCGTTAAGCCGTTTTCCCACGAGCTACCGACCAGCCGGTTGATTACTACCGGATCCCCAGATCCGCCGCACGCGTAACATAGCCCCCTACACGTTCCAACTGTTTCGAGTCGCTCTCTTGCCCGTTCACTCGCCGAGGAGGAGCAAGCAATTTAACGTGCAACGATCACGGCGACCACTCGAAACGTCTTCGGCGTTTCTTTTTCTTTCACCTGCTTCGGAAGGAGCCGCGCCATCGTTGCTCCACTCCGATCCCCTTCTCGCGCGTGCCTTGTAAAAATTATTCCGGACGTAATTCCTGACCTCTTACGCAATCACATGCTCGTTTCTCGACGCACGGCGATACGTTATCGGATCTCTCCGGATGAACTAAGTAAGATCAACGATCTTCTCGGTCTTCGGATTGTCTGCATTTTGGCCAGGTGTTCGATACCGCCCGTACAAAAGCGGTTACGTCATGCGATCACCGTTTCTTGCGGACCGATAAAGCGAATTTAATCGCAATAAATTGCTTTTCCTATTGCGCCGATTAATCGACAGACGTGATTAAACGAGATCTCCTGACGTATTAAAGCATCCGCTTGGACGATTTTGTACAATGAATAAGAGCGTTTATGTAATCGAACGGTGATAAAACGAACGTAACGTTGCAGAACCAGGAACGCGATTGTACATCGATGTGTAAACGTAAAGAAGACATAATTAAGGGGATAAATATCTGATAACCAATTATACATCTTTCACCGAGGCGTAAATCATCGCGTCGTATAATATAATTACAGACGTACGAAAAAATGCTCCTCGTGATGAAGAAATGTTTTTTGATAATACGCGCGCAACACCAGTGAAAATCGTCAGGTTGTTATCTTCCAGAAGGAAACGAACGTGCTGTTGCGCACGCTTCGAGACATCGAGCTGAACGGTAATTAATCACAGCACGCTGCCGGCTTTTCGTCGATTTCCATCGACGAGGCAAACGAATAAAGAAAAAAGAAAAATTGCAAACGCACGCGGCGACGAAACTTAGGACGAAAGGACTCGTCTCGAAACTTTCTCCTCTTGTCTCGGACACGCGCGCGTTATGTACTTAATTGACTGATTCCCGGCATCATGCTCGAAGCCTGGTTAATTAAAAAAGATAGATACACGGTACGCGAAGGAAGTTGTTAAGCGTCACGGTGGGCAACACCGTTGTCACCGACGTCATCGTCAGCTCCGATCTTTCGCGTTCAATTTTTCTAATGCCGCTCGTTGTCTCTTATCCGTTACTTCCGTTCCTCGATTCAAAGAGACAAGAAACAAAAAATGAGTCAGTGTGTCGGATGGATTTCACTTCGGGAAACAGGTTCAATTTTACAAAAAAAAGAAAAAAAAAGGATCGTTAGACTGCAATTTTGCGTTACGTATGATACGGTGACAATCCTTTTCTATCGCAGCAATCAGCGAGCGTATTAGCCAACCGATCGATAGACCGGATGAAAAGGAAAAAAAAACGTCTTCCGTCGATGCTGGCATCGCTGGTAGCGGCAATTAATAACGAAGCTACCGAGAGCACGCCGATATTTCGCTCGGCTGACAGAAACTTTTTACCAGGTCCAGTTTTCATCATAATCATTTTATAGATACTTTGACATTATACGGGGACTCTCACTCCTTCTATTCACGCCAGCCAATATTTTAACCCGGTTTGCGAAATTAATGCGACACGATTTAACTTTCAGAACCACTTTCATTACAAGTGTAGAGAAAAACTCTGCTGAAGAGGAGATGAAACTTTAACTCTTATATTGGCAGAGGGCAAAAATATATATCCGTCTCTCGAGATATTTATCGTCACTCCTTTCCTAGCGGGAGAACGAGAAATCATCGGATTAAATTCGATAGTATCTCCACCGCAAATTTACAATCTTGAAGACTAAAGGTCTCGAAATCTTGTTCGTTAACGTTCACGGAAACTGTGTTGATAAGTCCGTTGGAATAAAGACTGAAGACAAATTGAATGAAGAAAGGAGGCAAGGCGGTGAAAGGTGAAAGGTGAAAGGGAAAATTGGAGGGAAGAGACGACGGAAGAAACAGCTTTTAGCATCTCTTTAGCGAAGGCACAGCTCTAGAGCGCGAATTATGTTTGCCTCGGGTGGAGGAGGCTAGGTCACGAAAAGGACGAAAAAGGGAAAGGGCGTAACTAGAAAACGGCTTGATAAACACCTTGAGCGAGAACATCCATCCATATATTCATGAGAGCGGTCTGGCCGACTCGACTCGAAAGCCTTTCCGATTATTGCATAAGGTTACGTTTGCGGGGCCGGTGAAGCAGAAATGCAGACTTCGCGAAAATTCCGCTCCTACCGTCTGCCTCTGTACGCTCGTCGACCACAGGGATTTACTTCGTACTTACTCTTTAGGCTGCATTTCCGCAGCCGTCGTGCACGAATACAAAGTTCGATTCCTTCGAATGCGGTCCAAAATCACGTCCGACAGTGACGAGACTCAAGGTTGGAGGGAATCGCGGTACGATTAAACTGAAAGGATATGAGACGCGTTTCACTTGTAACGAACAGATACCCTCGCTTCCGCAAGAAAAAGGACCAATGGCGGCGATAAAAGCATTCGAGGCGTATTCAGTAACCGGAAGTATGCGGACATTTATGTAATTTCTGCATAACAAATAGCCGCGAATTACTAGAAAGCAAGAACTCTCAAGCAGAGAGAATGCCGTAGAGAAAAATCATACGCAAATATAATAAGAACCCACACGTAATACGATCTTGAGTATGCACTTAATGCAAAGTTCCGTGTACGTAATAAAGTTGCGCGAAAAGAAAAAAAATGTTGATCGAGCAAGCTTAATTAAATTTCGCAACGATTCCTTAACGTTGTAGATACGTATTATTTCTTACGAACATTTACGAGAAGGTAAATCAAACTGATTGACCGATCGATAATTCATCTGCAACGATTGCACAAAGAATATTGATTTGGCAAGAAGAGGAGAAAAAAAACTTGGGAGAAACTACATAATTGCGTATTCCTCGGCGTAAAACGAACGTACGCAGTCGAAAGCGAAGAAGAAGCGGAGGCAATCGTAGATGATATTTCACGGATCTTAGCACCTTTCACGCGTTTTAATTATTAGGGGATAAATGCGGCGTTATCGTGCAGCGCGAAACTTATTACACACCGGCGTGGAAATTACAATTGATCGGAGGGAAATTGGCCAGTTCATGCCACCGGACCCAGTGTCATTAGCTACGAATTCAATGAACGAAACTGCAACATCGAACAAACGGATTTGCATCACGGTGGTTTGCGCAATTACCAGATCAGCGACGTTTCGTCCAATTAAAATACGTCGTTTGCATCGTTTACTCGACGCTCGTCTTTGTATTTCCCCCTCGCCGCGATCAATTCGTCGCGATATCGAAATACGACGATGCACCATAAATTTCGTGCAAACTTCATATCCACCGATCGTGCTTTCACGTCGTATGCGACGACGCAGGTACGCTATCGAACTCCTATCGACGAACTTCGTTCTCGTATGGAAATCACTTTCTAGTCTGAGGAGATTGCGACCGCGGCAAATCACTATAAATTCATCGAAAACAATTTAATCCGGGTTGAAGGTGAGACAGAAAATATCGACAAACATCTTCCTCTCGCTTTTCGTTCGGGCCGATCGAACGAACCCAATCGAAACCCGACGGCACGGCCCGTCGAAACGCATCATGCCAACCCCGGCATAGGAGCAGTCAAATCAATATTTTCAGATTCAAATATGGAGATTCAAATTCAGATATATGGAAATTTATTCCCGCCGATAAGCCTGATAAACCATGGATACGCGGGGATATTCTAATGCTCTCCAACCGGCGAGATCGAGGTACAAAGTCATTCCGAAATTAACTGCGCCCGTGGGAGCTCCGGGTGATAATCAAAAATCGGTTGCAGCCGGCAAGCTGCGGAGCATACCGCGAATGAACCACGAATAACGATAGTTCGATCGTGCCGTTCGATACATCGAACGGATCCGTTACCACGACGATTCGTTCCCCTTCAAGAATACAGATCGTTTTTATTATTACGATCTCTCGTTGGAGATCGAAGACCGTCCGTCCGCTGCTTCGTTCTCAAATAGTTGCCATTACCTCGTACCGAAGAAATCATTAAAATACGCTAACTGAATTTAATGCGAGAACCTGGCCAAGAAGAAACGTTTCATTTCGAACCTAAAAAGTTCCAAGTGGAATGTAGGTTAAACTTGCACACGCTCGTTCCGTAGAGAGTTTCCGTAGTAAGAGAAGTTCCTCCGTTTTCGAAAGGGTTGGGGAGGGGGGAAGGTGCGAAGATACGAGGGGATGTAACTCGAGCGCCTCCGAGAAGTCCTAATAATTCGCTTCTCGCTTTAATTAAGCTCTTAATATTAATGAAGCTCCCCGGAAATGTGAGTACAGAGATGTAGGAGCGTATTGTGAGAAGTAATCGGATTAAAAAGAGACACCGGAGTTGAATCCGTATTAGTTGCCCCGGTTCCCTCTGACGGTTCATCCTGTAATTGAAAACTCGCCGGCTCGGGCACGAGTAACGAGAAAGTTCGAAGCCGATCGTTCTACAATTCTGACGAATGTAATCGGAATCGGAATTCGATCGATACTTGTTTGATTCTTTTTCGTCATCATCTCTTCCGAAGATTCGACGAAGACCTGCGATTTGTTTTGAAAGGTAGAATTTCTAGAAAGTGCTCGTCGGACCGAAATTAAGAATCGAACAAGACGAAAATGTCTCAAAGGATTTCCCGAATTGTTGAGCGTTGAAGAAGCTTTGAATGCTCGAGCAGCATTGAAAAAGAAATTGAAGGAAACGCGAAACGACTTGCTAAACGTTGGCCGACAAAAGCCAATGGTGGAAAGCGTCGCGTCGTCCATGGCGTCGTTCTCTTCCTTTCCTTCTCTTAGCTTCCTACTCCGCAACAATTTCATCGGCACGCTCGAGTTGCCTGGCGGTTGCGTCCCCTATAAAAGCGAGGGTAGACCATCGAGGAACCAGTGTGCTCACTGTCGACCAACATGAACAGCACAGAGAAGCTGAAAGTGAGTAGCTCCAGTAAGACAGCCACTTGAATTCCCGTCTCTCGAGCCACGCAAACGAAACGTTACTGACGTAATCAGTGAAAATTCGAGCGTGTCGCCGTTCTTGATGCAATCGATCGAGTCGTTCGGGACGAATATATATACTTAACACGAATCGAATTTACTTTTTCCTTGAGAGACTTAAATAGTACTTGTCGTATACGAATGGAGGTCATATCGCAAATTCATTGCTCGCACTAACGTCAGTAGTTTATCTCTAACCCGTATTGTAAATTCTTCTCGAAGAACGAACAGAAAATTGACCATGTTGGAACGATGTTGGAAATTATAATCGATCATTTATTCTCTTCAGATCTTAGTTTTCTGCGGCTTGGTACTGTCGGCCGTGGCCGAGGAAGCGAAGAAGGTCGCGCAGGAGTCGAGCGCACAGCCGAAGAAAGAAGAGAAGACGAAGCGTGGCTTGGAGCTTAGCTTGGGCGATCATGGCTTTGGAGGAGGTTTCGGAGGCGGTGGTTTTGGAGGCGGCTTCGGACTTAGTTCCGGCGGCAGCGAACACATATCCACGGATCACATCAAGGCAGTCACGGTCACAAAGACTGTCCATATCCCCGAGCCTTACCCAGTCGAGGTGACAAAACACGTCCCTGTTCCCGTCAGTGTACCAATCAAAGTACCGGTCGACAAGCCAGTTCCTGTCCACGTGCCTCAACCCTACCCAGTCACAGTCGAAAAGCCTGTGCCCTATCCGGTCGAGAAGCCAATACCTTACCCTGTAAAGGTGCCCGTCAAGGTGCCGGTAAAGGTGCCCGTGCCGGTCAAGGTACCTGTCAAGGTACCCGTCACTGTACCAAAACCAGTGCCCTACCCTGTCAAGGTGCCCGTGGTCGTGAAGGAGCCTGTGCCTCTCTTTGTGAAGGAACACGGACACGAAGGTGGATTCGGCGGAGGATTCGGTGGTGGATTGTCACTGGGAGGTGGACACGATTTCGGCGGAGGTTACGAGCATTTCTGAAGCAAAGGCTCGAACTGCATAGAGTGTCGAAGTCTTTGATCTTCAACGTGCGTCTTGTCCATCGATTGCCGCAGGACAATGTAACCGCTAATTTCGCGAATTCGGTCTACCGAGCTCGCGAGACGCTTGCTGGTCGAAACGCGACCGTCGATCGACGAACAAGCGTGCCGTTCGTAGTAGACGTCAGTCGAATGTACCAATATTGTATTCACCGTGATGCTGAACCTCAAATTGTATTGTATAATATGTTTTTTATGAACGAATAAAACGATATTTTTTATACATAACACAGGTGATTACATAACCTTCGGAAACTGGATGGTAGAATTGCTCGGGAAGGAAAAGAATCGCGTTAACGGTTACGCGATTGGGAAGAATCGCGACGAGACTTTCACCGATAAATGTTACGAACAAGGGAACACCTGTTCTACCGTATGCGAAATGTCAGTAAGAAAAAGACTCGTATGGTTTGCATTGCCGCCGATAGAATCGCGCGAATTAATGAGCCGACGACGGGGAAACGAAATGAACGTCAAATCGTGTAAAAACCGCTGCGTTTGGCAAAAACGCTTGCGTTCGCCGTTCTCTTTGAGCAATCTCTCCCTTTCCTTTCCTCTTTATTTCGCGAAAATCTTGCTTAACGACGATATACAATAGGCTACTGCTTGACTTAATGAATTTTCTACGAAACTTTCCCAAACTCAATGATATATTTGCTTTGGGAGGGCGGCTTTCGCCATCAACCGAACAAATTAAAATTATAATTCCTGTTAACTACCAACCGAATAACCCTTTCTTCACCTTTCTAGCCTAATTTCATTTCCGTGTGCGCCCAACGTTCGCTCTCCCTCTGTACGCTGCCGCTGATCTGATAGCAAGTAGAAAATGAAAGTGACCGCGGTTGTCCGAACGAACGAACGGATTTTAAAATCTGCGGCGGACGTCGAGAGCGCAACTCCGGAGTATGTTACGTGTACGCACGGCACGGAATTGCAGAAGCGTATCGCGTACGTACGCGACCTGCGGTTTGCTTGGTTCAGCGAATTCGTTGCCGCCGAACGAGGAGGCATGCTTACGACAAATTCATCCCATTGGCGAGTGTCCTCCGAGCGAATATCGAGCTTGCCCAACGATCAAGGGAAACTGCATCGATGCGGCGCAATCGCGTTTCACGGCGGTCACCTATCGATTGTTAAATTATATCGGAGTATCGGAGTAGCCGGTTTGATATCGCGAACCGAAGAAATTATCACCGATTTATCATGCGAAACAAACAAGCGGCTGTGAATCGGATAATTTCGTCTAATCGATCACGTGAATAGCAACGAACGAAATATCGAATTGAATGTTACAATAGAATCTGAATTAAACGGTATCTGACTCGTTTAATTGCACGAACACATTTCGACAGTGAAATTGAATTCCCGATGAAACGATAAAGCGAAAAAGGGAATGCTATTGCGGATATTTTGTGTATATATCTTCCTAAAATAGGTAGTTTATAAAGCGCGATGAAACGAGACTTCGTTACTGCATAATATTTACCGGGTCTTTAAGATACAATAACCATTAGCTAGGTTTATCTTCTAGCGGCCAGGCGAGTTTTAAAAGCGTTCTAACCGATGCTTTCGTACGTACTAGGGCACGTAGACTGTTGGTTAGCAAATCCCGTTATTTAACGTGCCGCAAACCAGGTAATCATATTTA